AAAAAAAAGGGGTGAATTTCGACTTGAAATGATCATTACGAGAGCGCATAAGAGAGACGTAGACGTCAAAAGTGCCATGTTTGAGGTGGGGGGGTTGTGTCATATTGACTTGCAGATCTTTCAGTACCTTCGAAAGCAATAATTCCAGCTGTAAAAGTGACAATTAATGGGATACTTGAAACTGCCTGCTATTAAAATGGTCCAATTAGTTCACACATTTGAATAAAACAAAAAAAAAGGACTGTATTACTCTTGAAGTGACTTTGACAATGACTCGGATCGTTCGAAACATTCTCCAATCTTCAGCTTTGATTTTGTCCCCCCCCACCCCTCGCCCTTTTTTTCGCTCGTTAACTTTCCAACTCCATCGGCATTGACAAATTCATTCTATCGCCAAAGCGGCGGCGGCTCTTTTTAACTTTGCAAACAGGCTTTTAAGCCCACTCAGCATCATTCTTTATTTGTTTATCTCCTTCTCCACAGAAGGCAGGCTGACACGGATCCAGACCCCCCAAAAATAGAGCTGCTCTCATCCCACTCCGATTACACACATCGGCGTCTGGTGCCAAAAGGATCTCTCGCACGCGCTCGCTCGCACACGCGAGCTTGGGAGGAACATTTTATATGAACGTTATGTACAGCCAGTGAAAGAATAACACAAGGAGATTGCAACACAAGAACTCCTTGGCGAACAACTTTCTCGGAGGTCATACGCGCGGTTTAATTGTATAAAAAATGCATCACGAAAAACGAACAAAGCGCACGTGAGGTATGAACTCATTCAGTACCAGCCAATTCTAGACCAAGTCTGAAAAGACGTTTAAAAACGTCGTTGGGAGTGAATGAGTTCAGTAGTCGACATTCTACATTGTCGTGTTTGTGACTTTTGAGTGGGTATGACTTGAAAAAGGCGGGGCCTGGATCGGTGAGTGACGTGGACGCCAGCGTTCAAGTGTGTCGTTTGGAGTTTTGGCGTCGAACTCTTGACATTAAAAATGCCCTCCTCAATTGAAAAAATGTCACAAGGGAATTTTGGTCCCGGTAAATGGCGGCGGGGAACGCGGGGCGGGCCCCCCCCCCCCACCGCCCGGCCATCGTTTCTGCCGCGCGAGGTCAACGGGGGTTAAAACGCGGTCGTTACGGGGCATTATGCACTCCGGCGGCTCAAAGACACAATCGGATGTGAGGCATCGCGTTCGCCCGCGGGGGGGCTTCTATGAAGCTCACATCATCGCGCATGTGGGTCAAACATCCAGTCGTCACGTCAAACGACCGCGTCGGTATTTTATGATGATTGGAATGTTGGCTTTCCGCTCCTGGCAAGAGAGGCCCGTAAGCAAGCTTGCTAAATGTGTTATGAAATAGGCTGCCGATGTAAATTATTGAAAAAAAGGTTTGGAATAGATTTTGCCCCCAAAATAGTCATGCAAATTTGGGGGTGTACTCGTGTTATTCTTAAAACAACAAAAATCCATCAATAATCATCTTTTGCGAAAGGACAAAGTGGCGCCACAGTTCTCATCAATCCCATTTAGGCTTTTTTGTGAAACCGAGGAGTTGCGCGTATCCATTATTAAACAGCGTGAAGCCAGATTTGTGGATAATTTACAATCTGCCTCGGAGCGAGCATTAAGCTCGGCGGTCGGTCCAGTTCCCGTTCGTGTGGCGCTAATGAAGGGAAAAAAATAAATAAATTCAGAAATGTCCATCTTGTGCTCTTGGATGCGCAAGTTCGACAACATGCTCGAAACAGGAGCGGCGGAAGGAGATTTCTCCTCACGTATATTCGAAGTGACACACAAAAGCATATTATGCATCCACACACACACACACACACACACACACACACACACACACACACACACACACACACACACACACACACACGAGACCGCTCATGTGTGGTGTACCATCTGTGTCGTGAACGGGGGAGTCTTTGCGTTCCGCCTCCCCCGAGGTTTGGCTTCTCATGTCCTCGCGTACGCTAGTTATGTTCGACGCCTTCTTCTTCATCGGCGACGACATGAAGGCGCGTCCTCCGTGCGCCTGAAGTGTCTTTGCGCAGTACCCCCGCCCGCACCCGCGCGCGAGTGAATTTCATCTCGACCTGTAGCGAGCGTGCTTCTGCGCCGAGTATTAAAGTGAAGTACTGTGCCTACATTGTCAGGAGGGCTCTATGCCGAGAGTGAATAAAGAGCTTTTTTTTTTTTTTTTATTTCTTTGCCGCTGCGTCACGCGGTCCTTCAGGATCAATTCAAAAACATGACGCAAAGAAGGGAGCGCTTGGAATAAGGAAACGTTTTCCGGGGTATTTTTTTTTTCAGCAAATCCAGCAGAGGTTGGAGATAATGTGTCGGCTGGACGGGGAATTCATCGACAAATGGCAATTTTCACGGCGGCCATGTTGGCGAGTCAACGCGGGTTTAGCGCCAGCGTATTTGAAACCGTTATTCATGACCACGTTCCACTGAGGTGGGAAAGGACACGAGACGGCGCGGGGCCCAGAAAGAAGTTAGTAAATGACGCCGGCGTTTGGCTGCTGTGGAAAATAAGGAGCCTTCGGGGGGGGGCGCCAATCGGGGAAAGGCAGCCAAATATTTTGGCGGCCCATTCAGGTCTGCCGATACCACGCGAGACTCCTTGGGCTGCTATAAATATGCAAAGTAAACACATTTGATGGAACCTAATAAAATGTCATTCCAAGCGAGCGGCAAGTCGCGGCGATCTGTTCGTGTGAGCCGGGAAGCGGCGGCGTGAACTGGACTGACCCCCCGCTTGCAACATCGCATCCATTTAAAGATGAAATCTGGGATGAAATTTGAACGTTCACACAACTCTCCGGACTCAGCTCGCTTCCTGTTTGATGTTGAGGGCTTACAGGAAGTTGCGTATGCGCGGCGGGTACGAGGCTCGCCCGGTCATGGGGGAGGGGTCATTCAAAGGGCAGATGTAATTATAAGTGCGAATACGTTACTATCCCTTCACAAAGACGGTATCATTTACTGAAAATATATCTATTGGCTGGAAAGCAATAAGAGTGTTAAGCTTTGGCACCATCTTATGGCGCCAAGGAACTCTATTGAAGTGAGTTGGGGAGATTTTTTTCGACAAAAGGAGTGCTTTGCCGCCACTTTATTGCATTTTGATGCCAAGGAACTATGTTGATACAAGTTGAGGTGCTTCATTTCAACAAAAGTAACGCTTTAGCGGCAAATTGTGGCATTTCAGGTGCCAAAGAACTCTGTTGAGGCGGGCTGAGGAGCTTCATTTTGAGAAAAAGAGTGCTTTGCCGCCCAAGTTGAGGCATCTTGGTGCCAATGATCTCTTTTTGAAGTGAGCAAAAGGAGCATTGTTTTGACAAAAGTCGCGCTTTGAGGCCTAATTGTGACAGAAGGTGACACGAACCGACGCTCGTGTGAGTTGAGGAGCTTCCTTTTGACAAACGACATGCTTTGCCACCTAATGGTTTGACCAGTCTTTTTTTTTTTTTTTTTTGCACAGTATCCTCAGTTTTGGAGCACCACATTTAAAATATTTTCTCTGTAGAGAGCTGTCACTAAGATGAATGGCTAAGCAACAGAGATGAGGATCCACCGATGCCGCATTTAAAAAAAAAAAAAAACATACCGGATGCAGTTTAAAAAGGCGTCCCGGGCAGGAAATAGAAATCTGATCATCCCTAATGCCTCTCTGGACGCACTCCCCAGGCAATATCTTACCCTTGTTCGAGCACACTGCCGATGAATTTTCCGTCAGCTGAATCTCCAGAGGAATGGGGACGGACACTCTCCCAGATGGCGAGGTGTTGGCTCCTGCTGGGGGCGACTGTTGTACCCACCCGAGCTCTGACATTCCTTCAATCAGCGAAAATGAAGCACTTCACGAGGACGGAGTAAAAACACCACTCGGGAGATGTCACGGTCAAAGGAAAGGGTTACTTACTCTCATTAGATAGATGAAACGTGAGGGATTAACATTTCGTATCTCAGATCTCGCTGACGTTTCCCGTGGGGGACTTCCTACAACTGCGGCCCAACAATCATGGGGTAGATTGCAGGACTGCAATTTTTTCGACACTGTTTTTGTGCACCAAGAATCAAATGGCACCAATGTCAACCGGTGTTTTTTTCCTAATATTAAACAGCACAAACGTATTTCCAGGTTCTGCATCACACCTTCGTAAAAAGCACGTTATACTGTCCGCTTTGTTTATGCCACGCATATGCCGTAATTGTGAGAACATATTCAAAAAAACGGAGGCCATACGTGAAGGAAAACCAAATTGAGAAGGCAGAACGGAAAGGCAGGTGGGGGGGGGGGGAAGCCTACCTTACGTCATCCAATGGTGTCGGTGCTTTCAGACGGATATGGATGAGCCCAGTATCTGGCTGCGGGTACTTCATGGGCTGGTCGAGGCAACTTTTCGAGGCAACCGTGGTCCCACAGCACCATCTGGTGATTGCAGAGGGGAAATAAAATGTTCAAGCTTTTGGTTAGAGGTGGAGCCTCGACTGTAGGCAATTTAGACAGCGTGAGAGGGAATGGAACTTTTTTTTCCCCCCCTCCAGTTAGCGCTCAAAGCAACAAGGGACTCAATTACTGAAAACGGGACAGATTTCATTTCTATTTTGGTTTACTGACATTTCCCGTTTCCAAGCGCTCCCTTCAAGCACTTGGGAATTGATGAGGACGCATCGATCAAGGAACCCTGAAAAAGGTTGGAGCTTAGGCGCAAACGTGGGAACGTTCCTGAAGCGATCGACTGGGCCAAAAGACGCGTCACTGTCCCTGGAGTGGCTAAGACAAAAAAATAATAATAATCAATGTTTATGTCACCCAATGGATGGCACACACAAAAGACTGTAAAGAGACAAAGTCCATTTCGCCTAAGATAATATTGAGCCTTTTTACCAGCTGCTCCTCCGCGCGCTCGCAGCAGTCTTCTCCTTTGTCGCAATGACGGCCAAATCTTTTCTTCTTTGCCTGCTTCCTATGGAAATGGAAATCAAAGTGCTTATTTTTTGGCAGCCTGATAAGAAGGTAATCGAGTCGACAATTGGAACAATTCCATTCGCCAATGGTATTCCGCTGGCCCGTTGTTGTTGTTGTTTTCCTGAACAGCGTGTGCAGGAATGAGCATGTTATCTTTTTGCGTCTCCTCCAGAATAAAAAACTCGGCGAGAAAATCCTTAAGACGGGGGTCAGTGGAGATGACATTGCAGGAATCGGATAGCAGGGCCGCAGTGGGAGTTTCGTGGCTCAAAGCGGCATGCTGTGTTGCTGTTACAAGCTACCGGGTAGCGATACCTCGCGTACTTTGGACATCGAAAATTTCATTGAACAAAATGACAGAAAATTGCCCACCGAGAGCCTTTTTCTGTCGCGCATGATCATTCGCCAATAAAACCGCCCCGGGTATAAACGCCGAGGAAGACATACTCGATGTTCAAATATTTTTGCCTTAAGTATCGGTGCTTAGTATCGGCTGCATTCATGAATAATTGATCGCTGAAAATAAGACCTGTCCCAATCCGAATATTGATATCTGTAATCGGTACTTGCACATCGCGAAAAGAAATCAGCATGATGTGATTTACAACCACGAAGCAATGATCAAGAGAGAAAACAAGAAATTAGCCTGCACTTGCAGCACGCACGTATCCCCACGAGGAAATGTCATGTGACCACATTCGGCTCTCGCAAGAAGGAACGTTCCCAAAGGGGGGTGCGCGCGCCGTCTTATAATTGGCGACAGCCTTCAAATGTGGACTCCTACCGAATGCCGTTTCTTTCCTTATTAAGACAGCGAAGGGAAACCCGCTCGGAGATCCACGGCCAGTCACCGGCTTTGATCGACTTTGCCCCTAATGGGAGATTCAATTCCACTCCTCCTTTTTCTTGCTTTACCCCACGGACTCCCAACACTCCAAATGAGAGGAATTACGATTTGAAATGTGTCTAAAACGAGGCAGGAGTCAGACAAAATGACCGAAAATGATCAGCAGCAATCACCTGGCAAAGGACCGACGGGGCACTCACTGGCCACGACATTAGGTACACCCGCATTTTCCAGACTGCTGGCTCATCTGGGTCAGACAAACAGCCCCGTCGCACTCGAAATCACGCCGAGGGACAATGCAGAGCAGTGGTTCGACGTGAAGCTCCTCAACTCATCTCGACACGGCTCCTTGCAAGGTGAAAATCGATCGAAAAAGCGAACAAAATAACTCACCGCGAGGCTGTAGAGCGCTGCAGACGTCGCGTCCCTCGTCTCATCCGTCCCGTGGATTGCGCCAGCGTGCCTAACGAAGCACTTAGTCGGAATGTAAACAAAACAGTTGAAACCCGGAAAGCGCTCGGGCTTGAAGAGGATGCACAACCTTCAACCCATTTGCGCGCCGTAACACCACTTGTGCCCCCCATAAACGGCATCGTTGTTAAGTCAGTCTGCCACCCGTACAAATGACAATAAATGCTTTGCAACGCGGGCAAATAAAATATAATGGAGCATATTAGCCATCTTGCCGGGAAGTAGTTCAGTGCGGCGCGATAAAACGGCTCACAATTAGAGAGCAAAAGACTGTTTGCACCGACGAAACGTGCACGCAGAGCGCTTATTAAAAGTAAGAGGGGAAAGTCGAATCGGTACGAACCGGCCGCAATCGGTGTGCAGTTGCAGCAGGAAGTGCGGGATATGATCACACCTTGTCAAATTGTTGCAATTTTTGGGGGTAAAATATATTAAAATGCGCCGAGGTCTTTTTTTTTTTTTTTTTAAACGCAGTGTAACACCAATGTGATTTTTTTTTTTTCATTTGTTAAAAAATATATAAATTCCACCCGAAAGCTGTTGATACTTTTGGTGAATAGTGTATAACTGAATTGTCCATTTTTTTTTTTCGTTTTAATTTCGAAACAATCCACCGCTGACGTCCTCTGACCTTTCCCTTTCCCGCAAGCAATTTACTCACCCTTTTCACGTCTTTACCGTCACCCGTGATCTTTTCCTGCCATTTAGCTCGCATTTACCTGTCAGCTGCGTCCATTAGGGGGCCGACCTGACCCCTATTTGGCATGCCGGGAACATCCGGACCCCTATCGTTCGCTATCAAGACTGAAGTATGTGTAAGCGTATGCATCACAATGTCAAAGCAACGCATGCATAAAGGAGGAAATTATAAGACGGCAACACTTTACTCGACCATTGCAAACACTGAACATGTCAAAACTATGACATGCAAACATTATTGTAGAGTGGAATGAATGGAAACTCCATTTGTCCTCTCACGCCTGTAATAAAACATTGACAAATAAAAACATGCACTACCATTATATCGAGGTGAAAAATACAACAGTTTATGCACCAGAATGAATTCATTGCGCGGTTCTTTCTGGTGTGCTTTGGCCACAAATATGACAAGGAGAAGGTCACAGCTTTTAAGTTACAATTAAGTGCAGTTAATTTTTGCAAATAAAAAAAATAGACGAGTATTGTGTGGACACTTTTATTCCGTGCTAGATCGATGTTAGTTTTGTGAGCCCGTCTTTGGTGCTTTGCGCTGAGCGCTTGCAGTAACTTAGTAACAAAACGATGTGGTTGTTTTGAAAACATTTGTAATTTGTGTCATTTGTTTGTTTAGTTTGACACTCAACTTCAAATGAGTGCCCCGCACTCCTACAAGTGCTGTGCTGTGTATTTTCCAAAAATAATCTTTTAGTACGCGGCTGTACTCCAATTTAGGTTCCAAGACAAAGTCTTGTGAAAGTTAAGTGCTTGTAAAACCTGCTTTAGTGAAGAAAAATGGTTATTTAAGTCGAGCTTTTCGGCCCGAGTGAAAAGAACAAATCCATGAAGCAAGAGACATCAAGTGGACTCGTTGCCTTGGCTCTTGTTCGCCACATAAGTGCATTCTGACGAAAAGAGAAACATTCATTTGCATTGACAGATAGATCGATAGACATTTGAAAAATTAAGCCATATAAAAACATTAATAGTTGGATGTGCTCCTCACCGAGTAGGCCTTCGACAGCGTTGCTGTTCGTGATCGTCATTGTGATCGACAGTCGCCATAACGGCAACCCCAGCCGGAGACCTAACATCACGTTTTATGATTTGAGTTTTATGCAAAATTGGTAATATTGTATCTTACGCTTGAAAGAGGCGACTGGAAGCATCGTGAGGGAACGAACAGCCTGGCGTGGAAATGTTTGGTTAAAGCTGTCAGCTGGGGTAGACCACCCAGGAAGGCAGTGCAGCGACTACAGGTGGACAAAAGCGGAACTGCAGGCAGACGCCGCAATTTTCGTCATCACAATCGTTCGAAAAAATATTTGGACTCTTATTTTTCTTGTTCTTGTTGTTGTTGTACAGTAGCTCCAGAAGTAATAGTAGTAGTAGCAGCAGTAAATTATATAACAATAGTTTTAATTTATTCGTGCCTCTTTCACTGAATTAAATAAAAATATATATTTTAACTCGTATTTTTTCGTTTTTTTTTTTTTTATTATTCTATCATAACAATAATGTAGTAATGTTTAAAAAAAATCAAATGAAATGTGTACATTTTCATTTCATTGGTTCAAGGAGTCAACACAAAAAATATGTCAACAACTTTGTGTGTGGACCGAAAAAAAAGGGCCGATTCGGAATCATTGGAAAAAATGAATCAGGAAAAATGTACTTGCATCTCTGATGAAAAAAAAAAACTTGGTGACCAGTGTTGCCTTTGAAAAGAATATCAAATTTAAATTAAATACCCAGAAATTTTATTGATTGACATTTCATCACTTTCAGGCTTTATTTGCATATTTACTGTCCTACAATTGACAGGTGAGTGCATCCTTATAGAAAAAAAATGGATGAATGGAAGTATGCAGCATTAAATTTTGCTTTTTTTGGCCTGAGTGGGTTATGATCTCTTCTCCTCCTGTGGTCCAAATCAAAGACATCTCTCAGAATCTTCTGTGCGCCGACAGCCGCACCTCCAATCAATGTGCATTTCTCCCTATTTTTAACAGCACTTCCATCCACCTTTTTTTTTAACTCTTCTCCCTTCTCTTCCTCAATCAGGCCACAGGTTTCAGAAGGTCAGTCCAAGATAAGTGCAATTCGCATCCGTCTGGCAGCTTGCTCGCCCCGCAGATTGCTTCGGCCCGCAGTCACGCCTGTGGACAATTCACCTCTCACCCGGGCTTTTGTCTTCAATCTGCCTTTCAAAAAAGGTCGACTTCAATCCCATTGTGAGTGTCACCAACCTGCTGGGAGATCAAATGAACCTTTGCGGAGGTTGTCAAAACGTTAAAATGTGCGCAACGAGACTGTGAAATTAATATGCAGAAAGTATTCGACTTCAAAGTTAAATATAACTGAACTGTACTTAACGAATGTACTGAACTGAATTCAATACTTTCATGCACCCTGTAACCTGATAACATAGTAAGCTGTCCACTGCAGTAACCGCTGTCCCCGAAAGGGTGAAAAAAATGTTTAAGTTTGAACATTTAATAAAGTGATTCAACAATGTTAACAAGTCGCAGAATCTGCAGGGCCCTAAGACAGACCCATGCATGCACGCCACGTCGTTTCCTTGGCAACCTCCGCCTGCCGAGGGAAAACAAAAAGGAAATCGGAATGACTTTTTCACAAAAGCACCCTCTCTTTTCTCAACGGTTGCACTCTCATTACGTGAGCGAACACGCCAACGATGAGTCAACAGTTAGATCCTCTTTGCCGCCACCTCCCGTTTGGCTGATGTCACGTTCCCAAATAAACGACTCACTTGGCCTTCACCTCATTTGCCGCACGGTAAGCCGTCGCACATTACACAAGTAAGCGTTCCCCCTCCTGAATTGTACCTAACAAATGAGTTTAAATAAGGCCGTTTAGGTGTAAGTGCGGCACTTCATCACTTCCCAGCGCAATCATTACCGAGGCCCGACGCACAAGTGGCCGGCTCGCTGAATTATGCATGTTTGTTTGTTGCTTTCATTACGCCAGCAGGCGTCTGAGGCGGAATAATGGAGGATTTCCGAGCGTTATTATGTGGCGCTTCCTCATACTTTCCGCTTAGAGGGATGATGAGCACTTTGGGGGCCTCTTGGCGCAGCACTGAGCTCCATCGACACGCATCGCTGAAACAAGCTTCGTTTTCTTAGTTCTGCCCCGTGAGCCGTCACTTGTACTCATGTGCCGTTTGGGATCCAGGTGCAGTGAACAGGAAGTCCTATTAAAAAAAAAAAAAAAAAAAAGACGTGATGATACATCCAAGAACCCAAGTTACACTCACTCCACATTTCTTGGGCAATAAAGGCCCAAAAAACGCTATTCATCGCTCACACATGCAAATGAAAAAGTTTCATAAGATTCGGGGGTGGGTGTGTGAACATTTTTTGGAGTGAGAGGTTATTTTTATTTTTTGTTAGTGTGAAAAGTATGAGAGATGTTTTGAGTATTTTGTTGCTCTATCATTATTTATTAATTTTTTTTTTTTTGGGGGGGTTAGGTTAAAAAAAAAAAAAAAACAACATGAAATGCAAGTTGAAATTATTCCATGACCAAGTCCGTACCTCAAAATATATTCCCCCATTGAAATAAATAGAAACGCTATTAACCAGTTGCAGCCTGGACATATATCAAGAGAGGTAGTCGTTCCCTGCAGATGATAAAGAATATATGCTTGCGAGTATTGTTATCATGGTAGTCCTTCGAAAGGTCGAAGATGACACGTCAGTGTTGGTGTTGGTGTTTGCGCATATGAGCTTGCAGCCCAAATGTGGATGCGCAGCTCTTGCCGCAGAGCTGACAGGATACAGCAGTGTTGGGATTAAGCACTCTGTTTTTCCGGGCCAGCCTTTTGTCATCCAGGCTCTGTAGCCGGTTTCTTTCAAACTGTTTTGTGCCTTTGCGAATGGATGCCCTCCAGGCCGGTCTGTCCTGGGATAGGGTTTGCCATTGGTCAACTGGGATGCCGTAGGCCTTGAGGGTTGACTTTAGAACGTCTTTATAACGCTTCCTCTGCCCCCCTGTATGCCGTTTCCCAGTTGACAGCTCAGCATGGAACAGTTGTTTAGGGAGTCTGCTGTCATCCATGCGAGTGACGTGGCCTGACCAGCGAAGCTGTGACTGGTTCAGCATGGCTTCGATGCCAGTGGTCTCAGCCCTCCGAAGGACCTCCTGGTTGGGTATCTGGTCCTTCCAGTCAATGCGGAGAAGTTTGCGAAGGCAGCGCAGGTGGAAATGATCCAGCTTCTTGATGTGCCGCCTGTAACAAGTCCATGTCTCGCAGCCGTACAGCAGAGACGGCAGCACCACGGCACGGTAAACCTTCAACTTGGTCTTGATCGAGATGCCCCGTTCATGCCATATTCGTGTGTGGAGACGCCCAAACGCCTGACTTGCTCGCGAAATGCGACACAGAACCTCGTCATCAATGTTGGCTGCAGAGTTTATGCAGCTGCCCAGGTACTTGAAGGTGTCTACATTTTTCAGCACATTGCCGTCCATGGAGATGTTGGCAGGAGGCCGAGCAGTGTTTGGGGCGAGCTGCCGAAGAACCTCCGTCTTCTCGATGCTCACTGTTAGCCCAAAAGACTTAGCTGCAGTGGCAAAACAGTCAGCAAGCTGTTGCAGGTCTTCCTCAGAGTGAGCTGCCAGTGCACAATCATCTGCAAAGAGGAAGTCGCGAACAATGGCACGGGTCACTTTCGTGTGGGATTTTAGGCGACGAAGGTTGAAGAAATCGCCATCCATGCGATAATGGATCTTGACTCCTGCTGTTGTTTGAGAGAGCGCTGCAGAGAGCATCTGGGCAAAGAGGAGACTGAACAGCGTTGGGGCAAGCACACATCCTTGCTTCACCCCGTTTGACACTGGAAAAGGGTCAGATGTATCGCCATTTTCAATGACCCTGCCAAGCATACCATCATGGAAGGCGCGGACAATCGCTACAAAACGAGGTGGGCATCCGAGTCTGCTGAGTATTGCCCAGAGTGCAGTCCGGTTTACTGTGTCAAATGCCTTGGTGAGATCGATGAAGAGCAGGTGGAGATCTTGGTGCTGCTCGACACATTTTTCCTGTAGCTGCCTGACAGCAAAGACCATATCTACCGTGCCTCTCAGCTTTCTGAAGCCACACTTTTGGGGGGGTTAGGGTAAAAAAAAAAAAAAAAAACAACATGAAATGCAAGTTGAAATTATTCCATGACCAAGTCCGTACCTCAAAATATATTCCCCCATTGAAATAAATAGAAACGCTATTAACCAGTTGCAGCCTGGACATATATCAAGAGAGGTGGTCGTTCCCTGCAGATGATAAAGAATATATGCTTGCGAGTATTGTTATATTATCTGTATAATCTACAAAATGACAAGGTTAAGAAGACAAAAAAAGAGGGTTGGGGGGAGGGGGGGTCAATTTTGCCAAAACATGCACTTGCATATTCTCCCATAATCTATATCCGTCATAGCGAAACATGAATAGTCAACTCCCTGGCTTGTCCTGAGTCGTGGGCGTGTGTCAGCGTGGGGTCGTGCGGCGCATGCAGGTGCTGGCTCGGCAGCTCGTTACGGACCACTGGGGGGTCCCGGCGCTTCCTCCTGTGAGCAAGAAGACGATGGCGGGCAGGCGCTGGGATGGAGGGGCTAACAGCGGGCCTCCGGAGTCCTGCTGGGAATTCTGCCAACTGCCTGACAAGTCGGCAAGCACCAAGCCATGCGCATCTGTCAGACCGAAGCGGCTTTTCTCATCAAGCTGCGTAGTTGACTTTTAAAATACGCTTCGTGCAGAATCTAATGACACACAATGCGAGAGCGAAAAGCTTTCCGTTAACCAACGCCTGTATAAAATGCAAAAATACATTTATTCACATACTTCAATAAATCATTCACACACACACACACACACACACACACACACACACACACACACACACACACACACACACACACAGTCTTTTCTTTTGGGGCGGGGGCTGATTTAAACGAGATCGAAGGCCTTTTCTATGCTATACTGCCACCTGCTGACCGTTATTGGAATTGTTTCTTGATTGCATGCGACATAACTCACATGCGCGTGTGTATAAGTGATCTGAAAGGCAGGATATGAGAGCCGTTTCCATCTGGTGAAGAGCAAAACACATCAGGAGACGATTTTGGACATTTGTCTACTTCGTACGAGCGTTTAGAAAGAGCCACGAGATAAGTGATGATATAAGACTAACCAGGGAACACTTTAGCCATCTCACAATCGGGCCTTTCATTAGTCATGCCGCATACGCTCTCTTTGCTGACGTTGCGGTAAATAAGATCCTCCAGGAGGATAATTCGACCACCTTAAAAAAAACAACACGCCGCCGTGGCGTATCAGTGCCGTGAGCTGCGATTGTGTCTCATTCAGCCTCATCGGCAGAGGCGACATAGTGCAGAGTCTTTAACTAATGATCTCCGAAAACAATAGATGTCATGCAGAGAAGGAGCTGCGAGATGGAAATATGCCTGCTGCCGCACTGCGTTTCGATTTTTGGAGAGCTGGAGGGCTGATTGTTGGCAATATAGAAATACGATTTTTTCCCCCCTCACCCTTATTAGTATGTGATTTATTTTCCAGTCAGGATTGCACACAGAATAGAGATTCCTCTGGTAGTTACTGTTAGTTGAGCGAGCATTGAATATAAAGGATCGCAGTAAAAACTTTTGAAATGGTGCCGTGACCCGGATCAGGGCCGAGTTGATGACGAACCCAAGTGGACCAAAATAATAATTGTACGTCACATGCATATTTCGTATGGTGTTGTTTTCAATGCAGCACCTTTACAGACGCGAAGAACAATAAAGAACACGAGTTGCTCAAAAAGCGTCGTATTTTTAAACATCCAGCCATTATCCTTAGGAGCGCACTTTTGTGTCATTTTGCTTAATTTGTCAAACGCGAACAAAATTTCCCAACCCGCGCCACCCAAAAAAAAAAAAAAAGATCACCTACATTAAAAAAACAGCAGATGGCAGCATCCTCAAATTAACCGGAAGGCCTTTCCATGGACAGTCCGGAACAAATGGCAGCTTGCTGACGTCCTGCCAATAGCAACAAAAATGTATTTTCCAAGTTTTTAAGGTCAAGTGTGAGGACACCAGGAGCAGATAAATATGTTCAGCGATTAAAATTTAATGCGCGGACTGGATTCAGACGAACCACGTCACTCCGATTTCTGCATATGACGTCGTCTCTGGCACGTCTTCAAACTCTGACGTGTCCCCGGCGTGCGCGTGCACCCGTGCGTGTAATTACAATTAAACAAACGAATTAAATGAAACCACCACGGCTCTGGTGTGTTCTTTTTTTTTTTTTTTCTCACCGACAACACGCCCCAGTAAACTCGAGATTTCGCTCCGTGTTAATCCCTGCTGTGCACATGTGCACTCATTCCTGGATTTTTACCTCTGTGCGCGTGTGTGTGCCCTTGAGGCCCCACCCCAGTGTGTGTGTGTTTGTGTGTGGATGTGAGTGTGTGTCAGCCTTTGCGTGTTTTTATGCATGAGCACATCAGTGGGAGACACACGACAAGAAGTGGGCCTCACACACACAACCCCCCCCTCCCTCCACACACACACACACACACACACTAGACATGATAATCACACGTGAGAGGTTGCCCTGTTGCCCCTTTACTTACTCTGGAGGTATTTCAAGGTCGAATGGATTCTTCAGCCGAGGCGTTTTTGTGTTCTTGCAAGATGTGACCCATGGAGGACTGTAACTTTCTTTAAATCCACAGTGGGATGAAGGCCAACTGAAGTTATTGGCTGAAGGGGAGTGAAAATGATGTGAAAGTTGGCTGAGCACACGCTGCTGAGATGACTTACTTGAAGTAGAAGGTCAGCTGCAAGGAGGTGTCCACTTCCATCCCCTATGGAGGAGATGCAGTCACATTTTCCCCCCCCCCTCATAATCTCAACGTGAATGGATCATTTTAGAGCACCTCAGATGGAATGGGTTCATTTATTTTAGTCCGGAAAGTCTCTTGTTTTATTGACACACACATTGCTACAGTAATATTAGTTGTGCTTCGCAGAGGATAAAGAATATATGCCGGTGAGCATCACTGTATTATCTCCATTGTCTCCGTGTCTTGCTTCACTGTTTTGTGTCCAAATATACGTTGCTGAAAGGGTTACAACACAGAGGCAACGGTGCTATTTATTAGCGTGTGCTATTCATTAGCGCGTCTCTGTGAATGTGCATTGTTTAAGCGAGCAGACAATGTTTAGGTATATGTTGATATTGTAAATGGTTTTCTTTGTACTGCAGATTGGAAATAAGAAAAAAAAAATCAATAAAGCGAAGTTAGACTTTTTGAGTGGCTCAGGTGTACCTCATGTGGCATCTAAATATCAAATTCCGTCACTTTTTGAGCTATCACAGCGCCTCCTGTGCGTGACAGGGAGAAACCGATGGCATTTATTTTATTTTTTTTCAGCATTTTTACCAAAGCGGGCGTGGCTGCCATGTCTGCCTGAGGCAGCGGGCGGAAAAGGGGGGGGGGGGGGGGGGGTCTCGCTCTGCAGCCGGGGTCCGCCCGGGGGGGTGGCTTGTGGATGCTGCATTGATGGATGAAGAGTGACAGATCGGGGTTAGCCGCCAGGGGAGTCCATTTTCTTTGCAATGCGCGCTGAGATACAGCAAGAAGAGAGGAAGGCGTGAAGAGAAGAGAACCCCTCCTCCTCCTCTTCCTCACTCTCTCTCTCTCACCCCCCCTCGCTCTCCACTCCGGTGCATCAGTGAGCTTCAGGCGGCTCCACGCCGCATTGCCGCCGCTCCATCCCACTCAAGTCACACACGGGGACGAAAACAGTGGACGCTGGATATCCATGGATATGCAACACATTCCCTCCTCTTCCTTCCGATGAGAAGGCGCTCTCCCGCCCACACCGCCCCGGTGGATGATGAACGCAGATGCGGCGCGGCCACACGTTTGGATGGAACCCACAAGTTTTGCACCCTCATGAATGCGACGATTTATTTGTGTATTTCTTGACCGAAACGGCGATTCTCCCGCACTGTCTCCAACATGGCTGTTGACTGAACGGAAGCGCGGCGGAGTACATGAAGGTGCACGATCTGGATTTCCGAGTCCGCAATCCCCCCGCACGATGCAGATCCTCTCACCCGGGATGTTATTTGTTTTATTCCTCCTCCGTGCGCATGTGTGTTTATCCACGAGAAACATCGGGCACGTAAAAGTGGACAGGAGCCCGCACCTTGCGAGGACTTCCAGCGGGTCACCCCGGGACATTCGGGAAAATAAAACCAGAGACCGTGCCACAGGTGAGTCCTCGGTGGAGTCTCGGGCAATCGTACGGGGGACCTTTAACTCCGTCGCGGGAGAAGCGAGGAGCTTCGCACGCAACGAGCGCGACTCGAATAGGACGGTGACATCCATGGAGGATGCGGTCTCACACTGGGACCCGCCGCGACACCGTAGTAAGAAGATAAAGTTGAATGGCGGGCTGAGTGGCGCGGGCACGCCGGCAGGTGGACGCCACAATGCGCCTAAGCCCTCCTCAATGCGAGGAGGGGGGCCCACGGAGGGAGATCGACACAGGAGGGGCACAAAAGAGGAGAAAGCTTGGAAGAGGGGGAAAAACCGCCTGAACAAAAGCTCCGGGGCTCTGGCTCAGCCTCACGCGTTGCCGTGGGAACCCATCCCCAAGCCGGTGGCCCTCACGGCCACCGACGCGCCCTTTGACCTCTTCACCAGGAGGCCCGAGCTCTTTACCTTCCGGGAGGAGAACCCCTGGGACGCCACGCCGATCACGCCGCCCGGCTCGCAGGACTTCGGCGACGAGATCAAGAACCCGTTCTACCCGGTGACCAGCGAGACGTACGGCGCTTACGCCATCACCTGCGTCTCCGGGGCGATTTTCCTGGTTGGCATCGCGGGCAACGTCGCCATCTTGTGCATCGTGTGCCAGAACTACTACATGAAGAGCATCTCCAATTCGCTGCTGGCGAACTTGGCCGTGTGGGATTTTGTGCTCATCTTGTTCTGCCTGCCCATGGTGGTCTTCCATGAGTTGACCAAGTCCTGGCTGCTGGGGGAGGTCACCTGCAGAGTGGTGCCCTATATGGAGGTAACGTGCATTCAGTCTTTCCACTGTCAGAAAAAAAAAAGTTGCTTGTCATGGCAGCAGAATCTTTAAGGGAACGCCGATTGTACCCCTGAAAGAGGGCAAATATTGGGACCTTTAGGGCTACTGTCTAGGTCAGGGAGGGGCAACTTTATACAAAAAAAAAAATTCCTCTGCCACACCTGAAAATTTTGAAGTTGCAATTACATAATTCACCACTAGTTGGCAGACATCACTCGCAGTTGAAGCACTTCCATCCGTTCGTCCCCACGGGAGAAGAAGAATGAAACCCGGGAAAGTATGCAAACATAGAATAAGAACCGTTGACATTTCGTTGAAAGTGAATCGAGTTGCCCATCCCTGGTCTACATGATTCCTACGACTGTTTATTTCTTTAAACTGAATTCCGTACATCCGTGGCCTCTTTCGACGGCCGTTCACATAAGCCTAGCGCTTGTTTGTACCCTTACATGTCAACAAAAGGCAACAGACATGCTCCCTTTGCCAGTTTCAACCATTTATGTCCCTTTTATAACGATAATCAGCATTTATTTGTGCGTCGGGGTTCGATTGTGTACGACTGTTTATTTCTTTAAACTGAATTCCGTACAACCGTGGCCTCTTTCGACGGCCATTCACATAAGCCCAGCGCTTGTTTGTCAACAAAAAGCAACAGACATGCTCCCTTTGCCAGTTTCAACCATTTATGTCCCTTTTATAACGATAATCAGCATTTATTTGTGCGTCGGGGTTCGATTGTGAACTAAACGTTCAACGAAGAAAATACTTTTTACTTTTAAAAACAACCATGGAACATTGGCTTCAAGTCTGTTAGCTCGATGCTAACACCATATAGGAAATGACATAGACCGGCTAATGACTAGCATCTATGCAGTGCTATAACGCTATACATGATACTTTTTTTTTTTGTATTGTCATACAACTGGTGCACCCAATCGGACTTTGAGGTGTTGGGTTTCCTGAACTGGTTTGAGCGAGATGCCTCGCCTGCCCCCGGAGACAAATACAGACCACGTTTTGACCCAAAACAAGAGATCATTGTCCCTTTCTCTTTATTGCTTGCCTCTACGGTACTCTTCACAAATGCATCAACATAATCATCACGTACATTTACTAGATTTGACCGACAGTATCAAACAATGCAGCAGGTGGTGCGATAACCCCTGACTGTAAGACAAGAAGAAAGTCACTGATGGAAAAAAAAACAACACGTTGCACAGCCACTGACATCTCATTACCAGATAATGATGCCTTCAGTGAACCTGGTTTTATTCGGCGTTCAATGGAGAAGCATGAGCAGAGATTTGGAATGCAGCCCGCCTGTATTATTTCAGATAAGCTGAGTTGTCATGCCGATGCCAGACAGTCGCGCACAGAGCAGCACATTTGTATGAGGGGGGGCCGTCAGGGGCAGCATTGAGGATTACCTCTCGTACACACTCGATTTCAGATAAGCTGAGTTGTCATGCCGATGCCAGAGCAGCACATTTGTATGAGGGGGGGGCCGTCAGGGGCAGCATTTAGGATTACCTCTCGTACGCACTCGTGAAATGCTCTCGAACAATACTGACTTTTTTTTTTGTTTGTTTTTTTTTTGGTACTTCAACAGCACACGACTGAAATGCACTCAGGCGCACTTGTGAAATGTTCATAAACACACAATGGAAAGGTGATTATAGTTCAAGAACACTAACAAAAACTAAAATGAAAAAAAAAAAATAGCTTGAACGAAATAAAATATACATTGCTGAAAAAAAATGAACTAAAACTACAGCTTTGGTTTATCAGTCTGATATTTGTAGCAAATATGTCCTTTTATTTCATCTTTAAGGGGTTCATTTGAAATCTATTTACTTTGGGATTGTCCGTGCGGAAGGAAGGTCAAATTATGAAATTCTTATTATATTTTTTACTCAACAATAAATCCATATCTTGGATAAAACTCAAACTAATACTAAAACCAACAACGCTGCACTAATTATTATTTTTAAATAAATAAAAATATTATTAAAAAAAAAAAAACAAGTCAAAAGAAAATAAAAACTTTATGAAAAATCCTAAAGTATTTTCACCCTGATTACATTATATCCCCAGTTATCAAAATATTTAATTTTACGCTACACTCAACAAATACTCCATATATTTGTGGGGGGAAAACTAAAACTAATACAAAAACTAATAACAGCCAAAGTAAAAAGCGCCTTTTTGAAAAATCAACACATTAAAAAAAAAAAAATTAAAATTCGATTGATTAAAAAATACATCGATAAATTCATAAACAAACTAAAATCTCTCTCAAAAAAAGTATTCCAACCGCAATAAACACTCCCAAAATCACTTTCGGCTTATCTACACTGTTGAAAACAAAAATCGCAGACGCATGACCTCTCACACACAATACTGAAATCTATTTGTATCACATACGCAAACGTATAAGGAACATACAAAAATACGTTTAGCTCAAAGCTAACGGGCTGCCATTTGAATTTCTGCCGTGTTGGGAGGAGACATGAAAGGCCCGAAAATAACAACCAGGACAGGAAGCATTTTGATCACCGCAGGGGACGACGGGCATTGTTTTGGCCCACTTTTAGCTATATTGACAAAATAAGCTCACGGTAACATAATAGCGAGGAAACTCCGATATCTGAACTAAACAGCACGCCATATGAGTTGGGACACATCAAACAAGCATTCGAAATGCGCCAAGGCACCGTTGTTTACAAGATTATAATTGAAATCAACGCCCCATGTCTCATTACCTTCCAACCGTGATGTCACACATGGTCACGCATTATTTTTCCAAGTGGGAGACTATTCCCTTTGGGTGACTGAAGGGAGGGTGGAGAGGAGCATCGCACACACATTTCTTTCCATCTGTCTTAATGCTAATTGTCGCTCATCAACACGGAACACAAATCGAACAAGTCCCTCAAGGCGTGCTGGCCTGCTAGCGGTTGGCCAAGTCTTGCTACGTAATCCACACAGCAACCACGTCCATCAACATCCACTGAATTGATTTTCCGTTCGGATTTTATGAAAGGTACACCGACACAAAAGCATTCGAAATCTTGAGATCATGCTGTTCTGCTGTTGTTGTATTGGAGTTTTGATTTATTATTATTATTATTATTATACTGCAGGCAAAAAAAAAAAAAAAAATAGCTTCGGCTCAGACGCGGTCAAGATGAACCGCTGTGCTGTGACGGCTATGAGACGTGTTTCTTTATCAACTGCCTCAAGGGTGATCGTCATCCTTGTACATGAGATAAGAGGCCACTGCGCTCGGAGTTCTTTGCTCATTCCCGCAGCCGACCAGGGTCGTCATTGATTTGGAGTTTTTGATTGTTATTAGTTTATCCTGTTTTCATTTTTTTAAATTTTATTTTTAATGTAATTTTTTTTTCTAATAATCAGTTAGTTTGAATTAGTTTGTGGAGTGGTTTTGCTCGGTTTTATTGGTTTTAATTTTTTGTCAAACATGCTCCATTTTAGATTTTATTAGTTTGAGGATTAGTTTTATTTTTTTATTTTATTTTTTTCCAGTTTAAAAAAAAATGTAGTTACAAAAATAAAAATGTACTTTCAGTGAGTTACGCAGTCTTTTTTTTTTAATTTTATTTTTTTCCAGTTTAAAAAAAAATGTAGTTACAAAAATAAAAATGTACTTTCAGTGAGTTACGCAGTCTTTTTTTTATTTTATTTTAATACCATAACAAAAAAATGGGTTAACTATTTGCAGCCACCGTGACACCTTGTGTTCGTAACACAACACAACTGCCATTGTCGGCAGGATTTGGAAGGAAAAAAAAAAGACATCAGATACATCCGCTGCCTTACGCCCAGATGTGTTTTACGCCTGTACGGTTGATTGACAAGGGTGCGGAGCGTGGTTTTCTTCTGCGTTGCATACGCGCAGAGGAAAACGTACGCAAAGTTTAGTGGGGCATGTTTATCCGGCAGATGGTTGGGATGGCCTTACCCTGCGCCGAATTGCCGCCCCACGGCGATTCTCCCCGCATCAGCTAACTGTGATTAGACAAAAGCCTCCGGGGGGAAACGCACACTCTGGATCGCACACACGGTGAGCAGAGTGTTGGAGGATTTGGTCGCACCCACCTCATTTTAGGCAGGGCGGCGACACGCTACGTCTGGCGCCATGCGCCCTCTCGCCATTGATTGCCTGTATCGGCTTAGCGACAAATTCCGACGACGTGGAAAAGTCGACGCTCAAGAAGACTGACATGCAGATTTTTTTTTTTTTTTCATATTCGAGGGAAATATGCCCCAGACTGTGATGTAATTTAATGGAGGAGGAATTTATTGTCCAGAAGAAAGTGCCTGGGAGATGTTATAAAACGCAGGGAGGGGCATCGCTAAATGGAGCTTTTTGATATTTGATCTCATGAGAGGCGCAACTCAGGCTCATTATTGTATTTCGCTTTGTTGCAGAAACCCTCCAGGCAATTCATATAAAAACATTATTAATACACAATCTTGAGCAGCTTTGCCCAGAATTGCGCGATGGTGTGTGGTTAAGAGGTTGAACAACTCAAGATTTTTTGGTTGTTGTTGACGAAAATCTGATGAGAGTTGTGGCCGAGTCGATAAATCGATGATGTCATTGATTTGTTTTCATCACGGTACAGTTCTTATGAATGTTGGACTAGCTGAGATCGGAATAGCCTAAGCTAGCGGAGCTAACCTTAATTCGAAACCGCAATGGTCTTATTTTTAACTGATTGGAAGACAAGATGTAAAAAATTAGCAATTACACAACTTGCAGTAGAGCTTTAAACGTCAGAGCCGACTAGTAAAGTTTAGTCGACTAATCAACTAATCGGTTTAAACCCTTCGGGCGAGGATTTTGCGGCCATAACTTCAATTTTGTGCCGGCTTGAGTCGAGTCGACCACGTTTGGGGCCGTGTTGCGCCTCTCTCGGAGTTCCTCCCACGCCTCGTCGCCCCCGACGCATCTCCAAATTTGGGTACACAAAGTAGACTAGATTTTAGACTCGGGAAAAGATGGTCTAACTCTGTTCGCAGGTTGATGTCAGTGCGTTTCATTTCGAAACATGTCACCCATCTTTTTTATCTAGTGACTAAAGCAGATGGAAAAACTGCAAAATATCGCAACCGAAAAGTGCTTTCAACAAACACAAGTAGCTCTTTCGTTTGGTCATGTGACGCCTCGACGGCAACACACACGAGCCAGTAAAATGAGTTTCGGCGCGTTTGCGTTCGCCCCCATTCATCAGCCGCTAACTCCCATTACCCGCTGACAGTGACAGCGGTCACATGGCCACCGCTGCTCGTTAGGAGCCAATTAATAACGCGCAGCCTTTGTGGCACCGTCGCACCGGACCTTGAATCAGGGAAGTTAATGACCTTTTTTATTAAATCAACGCACGCAGGGACACAACACCTGCTGCTCATATCAATGACGGCGGCGTGGAAAAAAAAAAAACATGTCTCCGCCCTATTCCGAGCCCCAAGGCTGATATTGTACAATACGGCATTCATTTCCTTTCGGGTCGGTTAATAACGGCCATTCCGACGTGTAAATTATACATGGACCAAAAGGACTGTTTAAATATGGATGTTATAATCGAGCCATTTCTCCAACCTGCAACGAACTTGAAACGGAACATCGGCGACACGTCGAGAGACCCTTTCCGCCCTTTCTTCCCCTTTCCCATTCTTCCGTCCCTGTTTTTCCCTGCCCCGTCTGCGTGAAATCCCATCCCCTGAACACGGCTTTGTCACGCCACCAGGCCTGACTTCTCGACTCATTTTTAAATCCCACCCCCCCATCCCCCGCCCCTTCTCCCGGGAGAACAAAGCTTGTTTGTGGTGCCTTCGCGCTCCGCCCCGTAGCACTGATCAAAAGCCGGCCGCTCCTCCACGGCGGCTTTGAAAAGACACTCGTCCAGTCATGAAATATTCACCGGGTATTTGCGCACGTTGCCGCAAGTGGGAACGAAGGTGTCGTGACGGGAGAAAATTGGGCGAACGCATATCAAACATGTTGGCGGATCCCAATATTTATATAATCCGGACATATATACATTGATAAAATGATCAAATAATCTTTGTGAAAAGGCGGAGAAGTGAATTTTGACCCGAAAGTGAATTTTGAGATTTTCTACAAACAAAGAATAAGAACGATTTACGACTGAGTTGCTTTAGAGCGCCCCGTCGTCAGCCGTGAGGGAACGCACATTGAAAGGCGGACTTGATCGTCAAGAGCGACCGACAGGAGCTCTGCACTGGTTCCGCTTTAGAGCGCCTTGTTGTCAGAAGGGATGTGATATGCGGAGTTTTTTTTATTTTTTTTTGATTTGCAGGCGGCATGTGGACCGTGGCTGGAATAAAAAAAGGAACAGGCAGTGCAGAGCTTCGCGCTGCCGCTTTAGAGCGCCTCGTTGTTGCAGGGCAGCCAAACAATGGCTTGAATATATTTTCATCCTTTGCGGAATATGAAGTAGCATCTGCGCACGTGTGTGTCGACACTGTATATATAATATATCCATCTCCGTCCAGGAAGTTTATGTTTCGAGAAAAGCAAAAGGCGAGGCTCACTGGGGCCATCTGGGATGCTGGCGGTCGTAATTAAATTTGATATGACGGGAGGCACTGCTGCTGCGGCGGCGGCGGCGGGGGTCGGGGTGATGGTGGGTTATTTGAGGAAACGATGCTTCATGTGGAACAAGAGGGCGAGGAAGTAAAAGTCATCGGGAGAAAAGCCAGACGGCGTGAAGAGGATGTTGGGAATAAGGGTGGGAGGGGCTTGGGGGGGCTGTTAGTGCCGCGGGCCAGTTCATGAGATGGTCGGTGCAAGCACACACACACATATACACGTACGTGTACACACTCCAGCTGCTGTCGGAATACTTTGGAGGGTGCCAAACTGGCTGTTAATCCAACAGATCCTTTTGCACGAGGAACAATCCTCGTTGTGAGCTTCTGTCGAGCGTCCGGCATCTTCGCCCAGGGGGGGTCTCTTTATTTAGCGCCTGTCGGCGGGTGTGGGAATCGGCGTTGTCTTTTAAAACTCTGCCAAGTGGAGATAAACGCGTCATGGGGGAGAGTCGGGCTCAGCGTGTCGCATTTGCTAATCGGCACTTCCTGTCCTTCCTACGACAGCGGACGGCTGATCGGGTTATCAGGTGACAGGGTGAAGGGAACGGTTAACGTGACGTTAATCCTCAGGCGTTTCTTTCTGCTCCTTTCAGGTGGCCTCACTGGGCGTGACCACCTTTACCCTTTGCGCGCTGTGCATCGACCGCTTCCGGGCGGCCACCAACGTGCAGATGTACTACGAGATGATCGAAAACTGCACGTCCACCACCGCCAAGTTGGCCGTCATCTGGATCGGTGCGCTCCTGCTGGCGCTGCCCGAGCTGCTCATCCGTCAACTGGTGGTGGAAGACGCCGAAATCCCCGACGAGCCTCCCGTGGAGCGCCGCGTC